AGTTCATGAAGAATATGGTTTGGCCCGGGTTGACCTCTAATCAATTGATAAGCTACTGTAAATGTGAAGAAATGTAAGCTACTGTTAGATCTTAAATTAAAACACTTGTGAGATGGTGGACAAAATTTGTAGCTCAGGTGGATGATTGTGGTGGTGTTTCGTTCTTCTTCTGAACAACAACATCATCAGTACAAACTTCAGATAGAAGAAGTGCAGTATTAGAATTTCTCTACGTTTGACATGTAGCTTGTTCTGTTAACCTCGATCTTGATTGGTTGTTGTTTACCTTAAATCTGTCGCTGTTTGCACCTTTTGCTTTGATTGTTTCCCCATTTCGATCTGTTTCTTGATCCCATGTCACCTATGATTTTCCTGATTGGTTGATAAATTGGGTCAATGTTGATGTGTTTGTTGATTGACCTAAGTGTCAAGCTTCTAAAAATTCTCTAGTGTTCTTTGTTCTCCCACTATTCAGAAGAACAATGAAAGCTCCACAACCAAAACATCCAGCTCAGAGAACGAAACACCACCACAATAAAACACTTGTCTTTACCCAACTCGGCCAGTGTAACAGCAATAGGCCTCAACATACAGGAAGGTAAAAGCAAGATCCTACGATACAATACAATATGTATCAACAAAATCACACTTGTTGGAGAAGCATTGGAAGATGTAAAAAACTTTACATATCTGGACAGTATCATTGATTGACAAGGTGGATCAGATGACGTGGATTAGCAAAACAAGGACAGCCTTTATGCACATTAAACTCAAACACAACTACCAATCAACATGAAAGTCAGAATTTTCAATACGAACATCAAAACGGTTCTACTTCTATGTGGCGGAAAGTTATAGAACCAGGCGGACCATCATCCACAAGATACGGGGGTTTGTTAACGATTGTCTACACACGATAATGAGGATCGGTTGACTAGACATCGTTAGCAACAATCTACTTTGGGAAAGAACGATCCAGATTTCAGCTGAAAAAGAAATAAGGAAAAAACGCTGGAGGCGGATAAGACACACATGATGGAAAGGAGCCAACTGCGTCACGAAGCAAGCCTTAACTAGGAATCCTTAAGGCCAACAGAAAAGAGGAAGACCAAAGAACACATTACGCTGAGAAATCGATATAAACATGAAAAGAATGAACAATAATTGTACAGAACTAGAAAGGAAGGCCCAGGACAGAGTAGGTTGGAGAATACTACTCGGTGGCCTATGCTCAACTCTAGGAGTAACAGCTATAAGTAAGTAAGCTTTCTAAACTATTATACTCTGGAGATTAAAATTGTTTACAACCAATGATATGATTACTTTGAAACTGTTTAGTTCTCAGCTGTCTTTGATATTTATGATGATATAAAGGAGTGTGAGAATTCGGACCGATAAACACACACAGATATCACGTGTTAAAAATTGTTTAGAACGAGGTCAGTCAGTTAAAACGTAGAACTTCGTACATCTGTACATAAGTTCAGGTTGCCATATCACATTAGCACAGAGACGCAACTGTCATTTCAAATCCCATAGTGGTAGAGAGATGTGAGAAGTATTAGCAGTAATGGAGAAGATTAGGGTTCAGAGATATTATTCGAGGAAGTACAATTCAGTGACATGACTTTAGAAAGAGAAAGATAGAGATGATGAGGAATTCATCAGGTTAGAATCCGAGAGAACACGATGAATGAACGTACCTGCACGATTGCAATCCATTTCGAGCCATGTCATTCAGTGTCTCTAACCATAGGTGACTTTCGTCTCAAGGACCCCAACCAGGTAGTCGACACCTACCAACATGACTCAGTCCACTTGTTGTCAGTGGTGACTTCATGAATTTGTGCCGTGTGTTAGCTTGTCCACCCCTAGCTTTCTTCCAACCTACTTCTACACTGCCCAACATTGCTCATCGAGGCAGTCGACAGTTGAGCATCCGTAACACATATCCCAACTACCTCAAATGATGAAGTTTCACTACTTTATTACACAAATATTGCCTTACTATATATATATATAAAATTACTCCTTATTCATTGTACCCAGTTCTACCTATATTCATTATCGATACAAAACAAAACCAAACAATAAACAGGTTTTTTTAACAATCGAATGAAATGCTTATGACGTCATGTATACATTATTACTATTATTATAAATAATCATGATTTATGGTTGAGAAAATTCACTTTAGAATATATTTTTTTTCTAATATGCACATAAAAATCTCACAAATATCAAACACACCACCTAATTGTGACTGATAATTTTTTTTTTCAAAAAATACACTACTGATCAAATTTCACATAATAATTCAATAGAAAGTAAGTGAAGTGGTTTTTTTTCCAAAAAAAGGCTATTTGTGCGCTAAATTAAAGCGATGTTTTGATAGAACACACACAATATATATATATATATATATATATGTAGATATATATACATATATATATATATATGTAGATATATAAGTAAGTAAGTAAGCAAATAAATACGTGGATGAATGAATGAAAACATTGGTGTACTACTACTACTACTACACAGGCGTTGTTTAGAGAACAACTAACCGAATTTTACTTGATCTTAATTTAAATCACATGAAATGTGATGTGTAACAACAGTGTAAATAGATATCAATAAATTAAATTAAATTAAATTATTATTTCATTGGGAAAAAGGCAGACAAATTATGAAATGATTTGCACACAACACAATTTGATTATGAGACATGGAATACACAATTTTTAAATAAATAAGTAAATAACGTAGACATATATTGTGTGTGTGTGTGTGTGTGAATGAAAAGCGCATTGTGTTTCATAGAGAGATCGAGACCGAAATTGAGACAAGAGAAAAAACAAACAAACTTATTTCAGGATTAATGTGAACAAAGTAGTTTATAAACAAATTGATTACCTAATCTACATGACATAAAACGCCTAACATATAACAGCACACTGTATAACAACGCATCGAATTGACAATGCAAACAGTGGTGAATTCAATGAATGGCGACTAAATATTATACAAGAATAGAAGACTAGTTGATTTCAGGTTTCCATTACACAATTCAACAAGATAATGTAATGTGAAACAGGAACAACAACTGAAGACATTAATAATGTATATGCCAAATGATGATTACCATTCCTGGACTCATTTTTGAGATGATTTTAGTGAATTGTTCAAGTGGGTCTAGCAGCATAATATGCTTGTCAGTGGATATGCTTGAAACGATGATTACCAGTTCATTTTAGTCGGTAAACCGAGAGCGAAGACAAATGATCCAGTGATACGATAGGCTACTGTAATTTGAGAGTCCTAATGCATCACTAAGTAGAGGAAGTGTATTCTACAAGCACCCAGAAAATATCGGGTTGATAAGCACACAAATCGAGTTGATTTATACATCATAGAAGCGTCCTTGGGAGAGAGCCACAAAAATAGCGTACTAAAATAACACATCAACCAATAACAGTCAAGGATTTTCCGGGTGGGAAATGTAATCTCAAGGTCAACTGATCAGCCCATGCGCGAAAACATAAAATCCAAAATTAGGACCTTGATCAAGTGAGTTCTGGGTACCTAACGTCTGCAACACAGCAACAAAACAGTTCAAGAGACTATGTCTAAAAAACAATGGAGATGGAGTGCAACGGTTGATTTTTTGCAACAAATGAGCAATATTTCAACGAGGATAAAGTTGATATACTTCACATCGTGTAAAGTTTTTCTAATCGTCTTTCACATAGCAACTGAATAATTATATACATGTAAATTCAGAAATCTCTACAATACCCGAACTTATGTTGATTAATATTTATGTGATTGCTATCGAAGATAAGCTAAGTTTGAGATGATTTCCCGAAATCACAATGAGGAACCGTGATTAGTGGATTTTCAAAACCATGTGAGAAAAAGGGTATTTGATAAAGATTACGATAACACCACTAGTTGACTGATATGAGAAATATAAACGATTGGACCTAACAGTATTGTAATCATTATCGTGGAATCTGTCTGAATTTGATAGAATTTGAAGTTGCAAGGTGTAGGCCTGATGAAAAGTACCGAGTACATAACGCATATTAAGCTCGTACAAAGAAAAAATGACTGCGACACAATTCCGAATCATATTCAATTTCTGAGATAGAAAGTTTATGCTGAGCACAAGACTTGACATCTCTATATTCGGTTTACTTGCGGGGTCACTGCCACAATCCAGTCGGGGTTCCACGAGTCTTCGTAATTTATTTAATAACTAGGCACATTAGCAAATGAGAAACCATCGGATTCGAAAACATGAAAGCTGGATAAAATAATGTGATTTTCGTTCAAATCAAAGAGTGATAGCGATAGTAGAATTATTAGCAGTAATGGAGTAGATTAGGGAGTGAAGATATGATTCGAAAAGTAGCTGCTACCTTGACGTGGTGGTCGGGCTTGTCTATCGTCATGACCCAACCGAGCTATACTGGCTGGAAAATATGTTCCTGAAAGTTCTACCATGCCAGGCAGGTCGATTGGAGAACGATGAGACTAAAATCAACTACTCAATGTCTGAGGGCGAAGTCGTACTGCCGGCTGCATAGAGGTCTGACAGCCAGCATCTGCAGCGATGCTGCCTTCTCACAAGGAAGGAAGTGGTTAGAAAACGTCGACCCTCAAAATGTCACACCTCACCCTACCTCACGGATTTCCGTCTCCGTAGGTAAGGGTGCCCAATAAGGGCTTTTAAGAGCGGAACTAATACTCAAAAAACCTTTCATCAAAACGTCGTGTGTGACCGGCCTCAAGCAGTTGTCCCTTGGGCTCTGCAGTCACGCACCTAGGTATCTAAGACCAACACTAATCTACCTTCCTTTTCAAGTCCATCAAGAAACACCCTTTTACGGTGTGTGGACAGCCGAGAAGTGACAACCGCCCTCATACCCGGTAACAGCACACGAGTGACCGATTTGGTCAAAATCCAAAAAAAATAAACAAATGATGTAACTTACAAAAAACCAACTACATAAATATACACTTGATATCGTAGCACAAAGCACAAACTACGCGCTCGTTCCATTACAAGCACCAGTCCAATCAATGCAGTCCAACAACGTGTACCGGTACAACCAAAAAAGAAGATTACAAATTGCAGATAATGTAACCACCACCAGTGTGTTGGATGATCTAATTTTTTTTCAGAGTGAAAAATAACAGGGAAAGAAAAAAAATATACAAAAACAGATCATTCAATGAACGGAGGCAGGTAGAGTGGGAGAGAGAGAGTACTTTTGATGCACAATAAGAACGGCCTGGACAAACAAAAAATTACAAACTATTGTAACGAATATTATTATTCCAAGGTATGGGAATCATTTTATTGATGGATTACAACAGATTATGCTGTAAATGTAAATCTACAAAGTTGTTGGGGATGTTAGATCCCCAAAACTCGCTTGTTAAATGCCTTATTTTGGTTTTCACGTTTGCTAACATGGGCTGATCAGTTGACCTTGAGATTTCATTTCCCACCATGAAAATCCATGGCAGTGATTGGCTAATGTGTATTTTGGTGTGCTATTTTCTTAACTGTCTCAAGGACGTTTCTATCATGTATAAATAAACGAAAGTTGTATGCTTGATTGTACTGTGTGATTGCTAGGTGTTTGTAGAATATACTTTCTACGCTTACAAAGCCTTCTTACAATATTTGGGGATTCAAGGTAGCCTACCTGGACGCTGGTTCATCGTCTCGTTCGCGTTTATCGACTAAGTGACGAACCCAATAAAAGTACAATAATTTTACGTATTCAGCTGTAGTACATGAAGGCTAGTGATATTCGATATGAAATGAACTGACTAATCTCAATGATCCAGTTTGGTTGAAATACGCATGTCAGTGTAGGTGGTAGACTACCTTGTTAGGGTTAACAATAGCATAGATGCATCCATTCTTTGTCTACTCTCAAATTCTATGCTTCTATATATAGTGCTCATGACATTTTTGGTCCTTTTCAATTGTTTCCACTGGGATATATTTCTCGAATCATATCTTCGATCCCTAATCGTTTCCATTATTGCTAATAGTGTACCACTACGGGGTTTGAATTGTCAGTCTCATCTCCTTGTGCCAATCTGGTATGGTATGATGTACGTACCTCAGGTGGATGATTGTGGTGGTGTGTTGTTCTGTGAGCTGGTTGTTTTGATTGTGGAGCATTCATTGTTCTTCTTCTGAACAGCAACATCATCAGCACAAACTTCAGATAGAAGAAGTGAAGCATTCGAATTTCTCCACGTTTGACCTGTAGCTTCTTGTTCTGCTAACCTCGATCTTGATTGGTTGCTGTTGTCTTTTGACCTGTCGTTGTTTGCAACTTTGTTTTGATTGCACAGGATCAAGAAACAGATCAAAAGGGGGGTGCAGTCAAAACAAAATTGCAAACAACGACAGGTCAAAAGACAACAGCAACCAATCAAGATCGAGGTTAGCAGAACAAGAAGCTACAGGTCAAACGTAGAGGAATTCGAATGCTTCACTTCTTCTGTTCGAAGTTTGTGCTGATGATGTTGCTGTTCAGAAGAAGAACAATGAAAGCTCCACAATCAAAACAACCAGCTCAGAGAACAAAACACTACCACAATGATGTACGACGTACGTATGAAATTCTACGTTGTAGCTAACTGACTGATTTAATCATATCATTATCATCATATATATGAGATGCAGAGTTATCGTCAATTATTTGAGAATTTCTCAGAAAAATCTTTGTGTTGAACGCCATCGATAGATAGGTTTAAAAAAACACAAAAGAGTTTTATTTCCACAATTACCTCACTTACTACAGTAAACGAAATAACAAATTAATCATAACAGGAGTATGAGTAATAATAATAATAATAACAACGACTTATGACATAGTTTAAGTAAATTATTTAATGATTTAAAAATTCATAGAACTAACCGTCAGCACCATACGAATGATAATATTGATTGACATAACGACTAAGTAATAATCCACTACATGACAATAATACACAGATTAAATGACACAAAGTGAATCGATTAGGAATTCGAATAATTTTTCGATTCACACAAAGAACACACACTGTCCAAATCTAAGAAATGGTAAAAAAAATGAATGGTTAGTATGTTTTATAGGCGCCGTGTATTTGATTTCTATTGTTTTGTTGTTTAGAAAAATAAAATACAAAACAATAAATTCAGTTTGTACAAATTGATGATTGACGGCTTGACTGGCTTTTGCTTGCTAATCAAAAGATGTGTATACTGTGCAGCAGTTCGCACCATCCTACTCTAAATGGATACGAAACATGGCCGGTATGGGGGTTGAGGTTATTCGTAGGTTATTAGTATTCGTACTTTCTGGGAATATCGAATAAGCAATGCTGTGCGCTTAGGAAACGAGTACTAGGTAAGGATGGCAGATCAATTGACCAAGTAGTGAAACTTCATCAGTTGAGGTGTTGGGACATGCGTGTTGCGTATGCCTACACACCCGCCGACTGCCTCGACAAGCAAGGAGTAAGTTGGAAGAAAAATCAGGGGTGGCCAGATCAAAACATGGCACAAGTCCATCAAATCATCGACAACTGGATTGTGCGATGTTAGTAGGCGTAGACTACCTGGTTGGGATTAGCGAGGCAATGGCTAGAGACTTTGAACGACATAGTTCAAAATAGTTTGCAATGGCGTAGGTGCAACTACGCTTTGTCTCCTCTCAAATCCTTATCTTCGATACTGCTCATGATTCTTCTTTCTCTTTTTAAATTGATTATACTTCTAGAATCATATCTTCCATACCGAATCTTTCCCATTACTTCTAATACTGCTATTATCTCTACTACTATGGGAATTCGACCGGTACTAATGTGGTATGGCAACTTGAACTGATATACGTACTTACGAAGTTCTACGTTGTAACTGACTGACTGACTGACTGAGTTATAAAACTTATTTAATTGTGATGATTAACTCATATATCATCGTGATCGATTCAATATTTTTTATAGATATACTACTTATGTATATTAACGTAAAGCCTGATACCAATCTGATTAAAAAACAATATCGCTCATCTGTATTGATAGTGTTCTAATCTACAAAATGGATACTTTTTTGAGCCTAAATTATACTTAACGTTTGAAACACTTAATACACGTGTTGTTTTCAACACATTCAGTCATTTTATTATTTCTTTAGAAGGCGAATGGAGGATAGAAGAAGAGTGGAATTTTCCCTAACTTATTCAATTCAAGCAGGTTGATAGTTGTCTTCACTTGTCTGTCAACTAACAACATGTCAGTGCAGCACAATTGAACATGCTGGATTTAAAACGCAAGTATAGTGAGAGTTAAAACCTCAAATGACGATTATCTCCCAATACTTGAAAAAAACTGGTTACAGATACGACGCACAAATAAAAAAAAACTGAAATATGAAACGAATAACCATAGTCGATTTCTGGAGAGGACTAAAAAGCAGTTTAACTAAACTAACGAAGCACTTTGGTATACACATTATCCAACTTGACACTTTTGACACCACATAATACAAAATTCCTCTAAACCTTCATCAAAAAATGATTAAATATATGGAATTATTATAATTTACTCAATAGCTTTCCCGACCGTAGCTGCTACCTTGACGTGGTCGTCGGGCTTGACTATCGTGATGACCCAACCGAGCTATACTGGCTGGAACATATGTTCCTGCAGGTCCTACCATGCCAGGCAGGTCGATTGGAGAACGATCAGACTAAAGGCAGCTACCCAAGGTCTGAGGGCGAAGTCGTACTGCTCACTGCAGACAGGTGTGACAGCAGTAAGGTGTTTCCCTCGGATAACCAGCATCTGCAGCGATGCTGCCTTCTCACAAGAAAGGAAGGGTTAGAAAAGGTCCACCCTAAAAATGTCACACCTCACCCTACCTCACGGATTTCCGTCTCCGTCGGTAAGGGTGCCCACTAAGGGCCTTTAAGAACGGAGCTAATACTCAAAAAACCTTTCATCAAAAGGCCGTGCGTGACCGGCCTCAAGCAGTTGTCCCTTGGACTCTGCAGTCACGCTCCCAGGTCTCTAAGACCAACACTAATCTATCTTCCTTTTCAGGTCCCTCAAGAAACACCGTTCCACGGTGTGTGGACAACCGGGAAGTGACAACCGCCCTCATAGCCGTAACAGCACGAGAGACCAAATTGGTCAAAATCAAATCTCACTCAAGAGCTTTGAACCAATCTTAGCGAATCATCAAATTGAATATTTCATGTAATCGTTTCTATTGTCACCATACCAAATCTATTCTATTGCTATCTATACTGTTAATACTTATATACACTGCTCTAATATCTCACTACGTTGATGTCGTATAAGTGCTTTGAATCAATGCACATGTACCAGGATTTTTTGTGCATGACTGATTGAGCCCTTCTAAGGTTACTGTCGGTCCCAAGCCCGGAAAAAAGGAGGCGGGTTGCGGATAGGCGTTAGCGACCTTCATTCCGTAAAAATGCAAACTTGCTGAAGAAAAAACTAACCAGAAATTTTCGGCAACCTATGCTCCATTCGGAGAAAAAAACCTAGGTAATGAATGACTGACTGACTAACTCTCTCTCAATGTGTCTACTGAACTAGATAAAAATGAAAATATTAATACTGATAATGATAATATTACTGTACATTTTCTGCTCAACATATGATGCTTTTTCATAAATTAGATGGTATACAATACACAAAACCAATTTGTAAACTTACACAACATCCAATACTAATCCATGAAATATCTTCAACAGTTCTATCTAGTATACTTGCATAATCACTTGGCATTGCATTGTACAATGTAATAATACGTGCAGAAATAAACATGATTGGTACGCATAAAAATGTTCCCAAGACAAGACCAACACCAATCTGTAAATTGGATATAGATAATAATAAATATCCCAAAACATGAATGTATTTGGATTTTAATAATCAATAATAATCGATAATTCGAGTCAGTCAGTCGGTCAGTTGCAACGTAAGAACTTTGTACGTATATACATAAGTTCATGTTGCTGCCATACCATATCAGTACAGAGACGTAAATGTCAAATCAAATCCCATAGTGATAGAGATAGTAGAGGTATTAATGGTAATGACAAAGACTAGGGTTTGAAGATATTATTCAAGAAGTATAATTCAGTGAGATAAGGTTACAAAGACAAAGGTGTAGAGGTGTTGACGAATCCAGAAGATTAGGATTTGAGAGAGCACAATGAATGGATGCACCTGCGC